CCACACCCCCAAACTGGGAGGACTGGAACACCCAGACCCCTTCCCCCAGCTCCCCACACCCCCAAACTGGGAGGACTGGGGCTCCCAGCTCCCTCCCATCTCACTTCCCACCCCCAGTCGCTGCTCCAGGGCTGGGGGAGGGGTTTGAAACCCCCTGAGTTCATGAATCCCTTAATTAAACTAATTAATCCCTTCATTTCCCCCCCCCAGTGCTGCCCTGGGGTGAGGGGCTCTGCTGTCTTCATCACCCTCCTCCTCCTCACCTTGGGGGGTGGCACCAGAGGTGACAGCAGAAGTGACACCTGCAGCAGCAGAGGTGACACCTGCAGTGACACTTGGGGTGACACCAGAGGTGACTTGTGTGGTGACACCTGCAGGTAAGATTCTCTTCTGGGGGGTGACAAAGTGGCCCCAGCCCCTCCTGACCCCACGTTCCCACCCTAGGGCCGTCCTGGTGGAGACCATCCCAGAGGGAATGTCCTTCGACCCCGGCTCCATGGTGGGTCCATCCACCTTCTCCACCTGGAAGCAGCTCCTGGGAACTGTCACCTCCAGCCTGGACGTCGCCTCCTTCTACTGGACCTTGACCAACCAGGACACGGGGACCCAGGAGCCCTCGGCGGCCCCGGTGGGTGCCCCCCCTGCTTCCTCCTCACGTGCAGCCCATCCCATGGGCTCCTCCTGTCCCTGACACCCCTGAGAAGAACCTGGTCCCCCCCTTCTGACACCCCCTGGAGATACTGAGGAGACCCCCCCCTCAGTCTCCTCCACTCCTGGCTGAGCAGCCCCAGGTCCTTCCAGTCCCCTCAGCCCCTTGGTGGCCTTTGCTGTCCCCTCTCCAGCAGCTCCTGGTCCTTCATGACCTGGGAACCGCCAAACTGGACCCACTTCTCCAGAGGTGCCCTCACCAGAGGGGCAGGAGAACCTCCCTGACCTTCCTGATGCCCCCAGGAGCCCATGGGCCTTCTTGGCCACCAGGGCACGTTGCTGGCTCCTGGTCACCCTGTTGCTCCCCAAGCTCCTTGTCCCCAGAGCTGCTCCCCAGCAGGTCCCCCCACCCTGTGCTGCTCCCTGGGCTTGTTCCTCCCCAGATGCAGAACATGATCTTGATTGAACTTCACGAGGTTCCCTCTCATCCACCTCCAGCCCGGCCAGGTCTCTGGGTGGCAGCACAACCTTCTGGGGTGTCACTGCTCCTCCTAGTTTGGTATCATCTGGTCACTGATGAGTGTATTGACCAGGACTGGTCCCTGACTGAGCCCTGGGGGACACCACAGATCTCCAGCCCCACTGACCACCCCTCTGGGTCCTTCCCCCACTTCCCAACCCATCTCGGTCTTCCAACCTTCTCTAGTTGGGTTGTGAGGCCACCGCGGGGGGGGGTCAGAGTTTTTAACCAGTTCCCTCATGTCGAACCATTTCTGAGCTGCTTTTGGTGCCCCCCAGGGTGAGGAGATCCTGGAGGAGCTTCTGCAGCTGCCCCGTCGCGGCGTCGCGCTGCGCGTG